AGGTTGCCCAGAGAAGTTGTGGATGCACCATCCCTGGAGGTGTTCAAGGCCAGGTTGGATGAGGCTTTGGGCAACCTGGTGTAGTGGAGGATTTCCCTGCCCATGGCAGGGGGGTTGGAACTAGATGATCTTTGAGGTCCCTTCCAACCCTAACCATTCTATGATTCTATGATCTCTCTGAGCTCCATCTCTTGCCAGGAGACCCATGGCCCAGCTGAGACTCCCAGCACCCTTTCTTCCAGCCCTCTGTGGCACTTCCCACAGTCCTATACCTGGAAGACACTGATGAGGGCCTGGGGGAAGTTGTCAAATGTGCTGCGCCGCACTTTCATGTCCTCGAAGTCAAACTTGCCCCCAAAGAGCTGCATGCCTAGCAACGCAAAGACAATGATGAAGAGGAAGAGGAGGAGGAGCAGCGAGGCAATGGAGCGGACCGAGTTGAGCAGGGAGGCCACCAGGTTGCTCAGGGATGTCCAGTACCTGAAAGAGGAAAGACAGGACCGTGTGTGAGATGGAGTGGGGAAGACTGTGGGCAGGACTAGGTGGGCACAGGGAACAGACCACCTGGCCCAGGGGGATGTGCCAGCAGCCCAGTAAGGGGGGCTCTGAACCAGCACCACTCACAGGCTGGGCACTGTGACTGCTCCAGCCAGGCCCCAGGAGGTGGAAATGAAGCTCAGGCATGATGTGACAGGCAAGACACCCTGCTGCCTCCACACCTGGTGTGACAGGTAAAGACACCCTGCTGCCTGCACAGGCACCAGCAGGCAGGATGAGGAAGAGGAATGAATACACAGCAGGTTGATGCCAGGAAGAGAAGCCAGGACTCCTGGCCCACAGCACCCCCATTTACAACACCCCAGAAGACTTCCAGCAAGCCCTGCTCTGTCCTCCTTGCCACTCCCAGACTATTTCTGTCCAGGAGACAGAAATCCCCAGTTCGGCCTTGTTTATCCATCCAGGAGCTACCAGCTCTGCTCATGCTGCAGCCCTCCCCAGGGACAAGGCCAGGGATGCCTGGGGACTGTGAGCCACCAGCACACACAAAAGCTCCTTTCCCAACCTGGTGATCTTGAAGATGCGAAGGAGCCGGATGCAACGCAGCACAGAGATGCCCAGGGGTGACAAGGTGCCGAGCTCCACCAGGATGGTCTCCAAGATTCCCGCACACACCACGAAGCAGTCGAAGCGGTTGAAGAGAGACATGAAGTACTGGCGCAGGCCCAGTGCATACATCTTCAGCAGCATCTCAACCACAAAGAGTGCGAGCAGCACCCGGTTGGCATTGTCTGGGATGGGAGATCCAGCTCATCAGAGCATGGACCTCCTAATCTCAGCATTGCATGGCAGGAAGGGAAGGCAGGCAGTGCTGCTCACCCTCCTTCTTTGCCCACCGAGCTCTGAGCTACAGCTGTTTTTCAGGGAGCACACAGGAGAGGAAGATGAGGAGAAGGGTGACGTGCAACTGTATGCTTGCATGTGTGAGAGCACGGCCATACTGTGCCTGTGAGTCCTTGCAGTGCGTGCATGCATACTGGGCTGTGCGTGCATACGTGTATGCGTGGCTGAGCTGAGTACTTGTGTGCATAACTGTACTCCGTGTGTCTATGTGTGTTTGTGTGTGTGGGTGCAAGTACTGTGGCTGTACTGCATGAGTGCATGCAATGTGTGTTTGTGTGTACTATGCATGTACTGGTGTAAATGCATACACTCTATGTGTGTTCACCACACAAACCCACATCCCTAAAAATATATACGCCATGCATGCATGCATGCACCACACACGTTCAATGTGCAGTTGGGCGACAGTGCAGTGGTGATGGTGTACACACACGTGCAGGTAGGCTGTTTGGGTGCACAAGCAAGTCTGCATGTGTCTAACAGACCCTGTGCCATGTGGTGTGACTGTGAATGCACAGTAAGAGTTCATGCATGTCTCCAGGGCACCAGCTTGTCCCCGGCCCTCCCTCTCCCTCAGGCTCTGCTCACCTTGCACCTGTGTCAGCCATTCTGGTTGGAAGTGGTGCTCAGAGGCGATGGAGAGGGTGTTCAGTGCCACCAGCAGGATGACAAGCCAGTAGAAGAACTTGGACTTCACCACATTCCTGCACTTCCTACGAAACATTCGGTTCCAACGCCTCCATCGACGGCTGGAGAGACGGCCAAAGGGTCAGCAGAGCCAGCCAGCGGGTGCTGCTCAGCCCAGGGCTGTGCATGCAGACTGCAGAGCAAAGCCACCTGTGCTCCCTTCTCCAGGGGCCTTCCCTGAAAACCCTGAAAAGTGCTGAGGAACATAATCCTACCCCTGGCACGTGGTGCATTCACTCAGGCATTGCAGTTCATTCACACAAAAACCTCCTGGCTCTTTTTGGCCTACAGTCACCTCTGGTTGGCTGTTCCTGGCCCAGCTCCTCAATCACAAGCCATGCTGCACAGGCCATGAGAGGATGCTCAGAGCCTGGTCCCAAAGTGAAGAGGCTGTTCACCTGGAAGTGGCTTTTTGCCAGAACTAGAGCAAAATTCCCTGTTTGCTGTCCACAATGTTTGCATCTCCTCCTGAGCACACAGCCCCTGGCTCTCCCCCAGAAACTGGTGGCTGACCAGAAAGCCTGGTCCAGCCAGGACAGCAAGCAAGAGACATTGCAAGCCCACATGCAGACCAGCAGATGGTTCAACCAGTGTATACTTACAAGTAGATAATCCACTTGTTCATGCCCTCAATTTCATACAAGCTCTCTGTCTCTGACCCTCCTTCATCCGATGGCAGCATACCTAAGGAGGGAATGATATCTCAGGCTTTCCTTGGAGCCCTTGGGAAAAACATGTGGGAGGGAACCTCTCCCATGAGCACAAGAAGAAGAGCTTCTCCATCAGAAGTGAAATCAAAAAATGCCACCCTAAGGAGACGGTAGCAAGAGTTTGGGCAGCAGGTTTTGAATGTCAGGTGCAAATCAAGCAGGAGGCATCAGGATCACCTGCCCTGCAGCAAGAGCAGCAGCAACTAAGAGAGGCAGCCTGAAGAGACAGTAGTGTGTATGCAGGCTCCCTCAGTGCGAGACACTCCCAGGACAGAGAAAACTGGGGTCAGTTGTGATCTGAGCAAATGCTGAACAACAGGAGGTTTGCAAGTGCACTGACCACAGATGTGGAGGAGCCGTTTTGTCTTTCCAACTGTTTCCCAAGGCTCTTTGCACACATGTATCGCTCAGCTTGAGGCATCAAAAGTTATTTCACTAGGCAGGGTGGCATAGCAAACACAGCAGCTCAGTGGCAGAGCTTCCCAGGCCTTGCTGAGCCTTTGGCTAGATGCCTGTATATTCACCTCCTTCCCTGAGCCACTTCTAGTCCCTTAAAGTTGTTTAGCAATAGCAAGAAATCCATGCATCTGCTAGTGTGTGAGCTAGTAATCCTGCACTCTGCCCCGACACACCAAAGTGCACGTGGTCCTCATGGCTTCTCATGGCTGTTTCAAGTGCATTTTGCCAAAGGAGACCTAGGGCTTGCCAACAGTCAGCAAATACTAAAAACAGTAGCTGAGGTGGAGATTTAGCATGAGGGCCAAGTTATCGCTAGTTTGGGTCAGATTCAATAAAATGATTCAGGAAAGAAGAAAAAAAAAAGAGGAAGGAAACTGTCCTGCAGAAGTCACACCATTCTGTTTCATAGGTTTTCAGCAAAATGGGTCTTTGTGACTCCTCCAAAGGTCTCTGCCCTGCCTTGCTAAGATCATCAGTGTTAGGAACCCAACCCTCAAGCTAAGGGTCTTTGACTAAGCAGACCTAGTACCTTCTCCTCTGGCCCGGTCACTGTCCATGACCTCAGCATGGGTGATCCATTCCATGTAGCCCTTCAGATCCTCCTCCAGCTGTTGCTTCTCCCGCAGCTTCTGAAATGTGCCTCGTGACTTGGCCTTCTCACGCTCTTTGGTGAACTCACTGGGACAAGGCAAGCAGCAGAGTGAGACCCAAGAGGGGGATGGTGTGGAGGTCAGGTACCACAGCCAGTCCATGTAGAAAGAGAAAAGCCTGAAATACCCTACCACCTGGTATAACCACTAGATTGCTCTAGTGACTTTCTGCTTTCTTGGCCCTGTTCCGGGACACAAGATCATGGGGGATCATCATCTGATGCCTGATGGCAGGCAGAGTTTCTTCCCCACCACTGACTGCTGTTTGGGAGCTCTGTGCTGCAGGATGCTGTGGCTGGACAGACCAGCTGATGCTAGACGTTGGACGCTGCGGGAGTTCTCCAGCTCTGCTAAGGATTAGAGCAAGTGGGGTCTCACCCATCCAGGAGGTAGAAAACTGCCTCAATGTGGGGAAGATGAGCTCATCGCATGGCAAGTAAACAGGACTCTCTTTCGTGGTAACATGGAAAAGACAGGTCTGCCAATGCAGGGGGGTCCCACTCTTCTCAATTCTTTTTTAATCAATTTCTTTTCTCTCCTGGTATCTGGCAGGACCGTAGATCTGCTGCCCAGCCAATCTGGTGTTGCCATGTGTTAGTAATAGGTCTCAGACATTATAACAATAATTAGACATACTAAGCCTCAGGACTTGTCAGGCCTTGTCTGGATTTTCCTCATCTCAAACGCAGTTATATTTGCAAAAATATTTCAGAAAATTTTGCTGTGCCTGCAACTTACTCTAGGATCAGATGATTATTGTCCAGCTCCTCCTGCTGTTACAGCCAATTTCATGCAAGGGTCAGGTGCCTGTGGTCTGTCTTGTGGTTTTGAGCTTGTTTTAGTTACATGAATACTCAATTTATTTTAACCTTGTGCTATCGTATCATTCTTGCCATAGAAGACGACTAACAAATCCAAGTAATTAGGGTATAACTAACCCTGTGAACTAATAGAGAAGATAAGTGTGATCCACTTGCACACACAGGATTGAAACATATAAAAATAAGACCCTGAGTCTAGAAAGAACTGAGGAGAAAAGCTCTCCTCGCTCCCAAGGACAACGCATACTTCTCAGCAACAAAATCAGGATGCTGCTGGCACCTCACCGCAGCAATGCATAGTAGGTTGAGCATTGCACAGAGATATCTTGTGCATAGCAGCTTGAACTGTACTACTATGGGAATTAGCACTAATTGAGTCATTCGACATAGAAGTGTCATTGTAACTAGACTGATGACAGCTTGTTGTTGTATTTGGATGAGACTGCTGAAGCATTAATTACACTAACAATAATTCTCTTGGATCCCTTGCATTCATATTGAAGGTGTTTTCCTTAGGTTGGCCATAAGGAAATCCTGTGTGTTCACAATAGGATGGCAGCACTGTGGATACCAGTGAGAACGAATGTCTCTACCCACAGCTGTGGCGTAAAGACTGCTCCTTTTAGCTTCCTGCTCAGCTTCTTTTGCTGTGAGTGCTGGTAGACCACATTACAAACACCTAATAATGTGCTCCATGGCTGCAGAAAAGATTTCTGCATTGGGTGTTGAGCTAAAATCTCCCACAGTCACGGACACTAACACAAAAAATAACTCAAGGCTCAGGGTTTCTAAGCATGCAAAAAAAAAAGGAGAGAAATGGGAGAGGAAAAGGAAGGGAAACTTTTCCAGGTTTTTTTCTTCTATAGTCAAAATCAGTCAATGTCCACACTCTGATCACGTTCACTGGTCTGCTGGCAATGAGAAAGGATGGGGTGGCACTTACCCACTGAGCACCCCCAGCACCAGGTTGAGAACGAAGAAGGAGCCAAGCAAGATAAGGCTGACGAAGTAGATCCAAGGCCATTCATTTCCAATGGCATCATTTACCTGGCAAGGAGAGAGGCAGATGAATCATTCTGAACACAGTCTGCTGTCTGTCTCCCCTCAGGGCCTCCTCAACAGCCTCTGGGAGCTTTGCTCCCTCTAAAGTGAGTGCTTGGGATGGTGATAGATAAACACAGCTCTGAGCCCTGGCTCCTTATGACTCTGCATCTGGTTTTAGCAGAGGTAAAGCCAGACCCAAGCATTTTGGGAGCAGATTTAAACATCAGTCCCATGCCTAAGCCTCAGCAAGACAGTCTCCCAAGGACTGCAAAAGATGAGTTTTTGCTGGAGAAGCATCCACGAGCCAGCCTCTGCTATGCCTAGCCTGTACCCCTTCACAAAGGTGGGAGCTAGAGCACCCTCCTGTCTATCTAGAAAGCAAGGACAGCTTGGGCAGTGCCTGCAGAGATGCAGAAGACGTGCTTGGTGCATGATGGGATGTGCATCACCGTATGAAGCTTGGTGGGAGCAGGATGTCTTTCACTGGCAGAGAGACCCAGCCCTGCTATGGGGTCCTGTGTCCTGGAGGGAATTCCCTGCTCTGAGGCAGGACCAGCAGTCACCTCTGCCAGGCTGGGCACCAAGCCCAAGCTACTGGAGCCTACCCAATAGAGGACTTCGGTCCAGCCCTCCATGGTGATGCACTGGTAGACAGTCAGCATGGCAAAGCCAAAGTTATCAAAGTGAGTGATGCCATCGTTGGGCCCTGGCCAGCCGCTTCGGCACTCGGTGCCATTGATGGTGCAGTGTCGCCCGTGGCCGGAGCTGGTGCATGGGGCTGGCTTCTCTGATGCCACCGTGGCAATCACATCTGAGGGGGAAAGTCATGGTGTGAGCAACAGGTTAGGCCAAGCAGAGCAGGTCCCAGCACCTCCCAGCCTTCTGCAGCAGCTTTCCAAAAGGGATCCCTTTCACCACGTCCTCATACCATGTACCATCACCAAGCTGTGTGCTGTACGAAACATCCTTCGGTCCTGCCACACTCCCAGGCCTGACGCTGGCAAGACCAGACTTTCTGCTACCCACAGAACTCCTGTGGTCCCCACAGCAGCCGTACAGAGACATCTCTGCCATATCGCCACCCTGCCACAGGCCCACCTGTCCCGAGGTAGTAGCAGGTCTTGTGCATCTTGCCCTTGAAGAGCTCTTGTCCAACAATGGCATATATGATGATCATGAAGAGGACCAGCAGGGCAATGTGAAGCAGGGGCACCATGGCCTTGATGATGGAGTTCAGGACGACCTGAAGGCCTGCACCAAGAAGAAGGGAGAGATCAA